AGCCAGCCAGACAAAGTTATCTGTGCTCCTAGTCATCCTACATAGCTAGGCTAGCCTGCCTAAATATACTGCAAGGCTGTCTGAGGAAATCATTTTACTACAGTGGGGAAAAAAGTATTTAGTCAGCCACCAATTGTGCAAGTTCTCCCACTTAAAATGATGAGAGAGGCCTGTAATTTTCATTACGTCAACTATGACAGACAAATTGAGAAAAAAAATCCAGAAAATCAGGATTTTTAATGAATTTATTTGCAAATTATGGTGGAAAATAAGTATTTGGTCACCTACAAACAAGCAAGATTTCTGGCTCTCACAGACCTGTAACTTCTTTAAGAGGCTCCTCTGTCCTCCACTCGTTACCTGTATTAATGGCACCTGTTTGAACTTGTTATCAGTATAAAAGACACCTGTCCACAACCTCAAACAGTCACACTCCAAACTCCACTATGGCCAAGACCAAAGAGCTGTCAAAGGACACCAGAAACAAAATTGTAGACCTGCACCAGGCTGGGAAGACTGAATCTGCAATAGGTAAGCAGCTTGGTTTGAAGAAATCAACTGTGGGAGCAATTATTAGGAAATGGAAGACATACAAGACCACTGATAATCTCCCTCGATCTGGGGCTCCACGCAAGATCTCACCCCGTGGGGTCAAAATGATCACAAGAACGGTGAGCAAAAATCCCAGAACCACATGGGGGGACCTAGTGAATGACCTGCAGAGAGCTGGGACCAAAGTAACAAAGCCTACCATCAGTAACACACTACGCCACCAGGGACTCAAATCCTGCAGTGCCAGATGTGTCCCCCTGCTTAAGCCAGTACATGTCCAGGCCCGTCTGAAGTTTGCTAGAGTGCTTTTGGATGATCCAGAAGAGGATTGGGAGAATGTCATATGGTCAGATGAAACCAAAATATAACTTTTTGTTAAAAACTCAACCTGTCGTGTTTGGAGGACAAAGAATGCTGAGTTGCATCCAAAGAACACCATACCTACTGTGAAGCATGGGGGTGGAAACATCATGCTTTGGGGCTGTTTTTCTGCAAAGGGACCAGGACGACTGATCTGTGTAAAGGAAAGAATGAATGGGGCCATGTATCGTGAGATTTTGAGTGAAGACCTCTTTCCATCAGCAAGGGCATTGAAGATTAAACGTGGCTGGGTCTTTCAGCATGACAATGATCCCAAACACACCGCCCGGGCAACGAAGGAGTGGCTTCGTAAGAAGCATTTCAAGGTCCTGGAGTGGCTTAGCCAGGCTCCAGATCTCAACCCCATAGAAAATCTTTGGAGGGAGTTGAAAGTCTGTGTTGCCCAGCGACAGCCCCAAAACATCACTGCTCTAGAGGAGATCTGCATGGAGGAATGGGCCAAAATACCAGCAACAGTGTGTGAAAACCTTGTGAAGACTTACAGAAAACGTTTGACCTGTGTCATTGCCAACAAAGGGTATATAACAAAGTATTGAGAAACTTTTGTTATTGACCAAATACTTATTTTCCACCATAATTTGCAAATAAATTCATTAAAAATCCTACAATGTGATTTTCTGGATTTTTTTTTCTTATTTTGTCTGTCATAGTTGACGTGTACCTATGATGAAAATTACAGGCCTCTCTCATCTTTTTAAGTGGGAGAACTTGCACAATTGGTGGCTGACTAAATACTTTTTTTTACCCACTGTAGTTCTTCCCTCTCTCTCATAGTTGTGTTGTGTACATTCCTCTCTCATGCTGTCTGTTGTATCTAACATAGCAGGCGTGAAAGTGTTTCAATCTCTGTCGGAAATGGGCACAATGGATTATGGTCATTGTACTTAATTACCATGTTTCTGCGCTGAACTAGGTTGAATATTTACTTAATGTAAACTACAACTCCCTTCAGGCCAGCATCCCACATAGTTCTTGACTTGATTTCTCTTGTGAATGATTTAGATTTTTCTCTAGAGAAACGACGCATGCACAAAAAAACGATTTCAATGGAATTCAAGTAATTGAACCGAAGTTGGACAATTAGTTGTGTAATAACCAAAGAATCCGTTAATCCCTCAGCACTATTGAGCAGGGCCGGCCTACCACATTTGGGGCCCAGGGGCACCACATTTTGCCATGGTGCTATTCTACACATTTTGCCTGGAGGCTAAAATATAATGTTGCAGTTTTAAAGCTAATTTCCTGCAATAAATTATTTTGGGCAAAGGGCAAAAAAATAAAAAAGTTGTATAGCTTTTGTTCACATTTTGTCATGAGACTGAGAGAAGATGTTGCAGTTTTAAAGCTAATTTAATGCAATTCTAAACAAGTTGCTATCATACCCGTTCGGTAATCTGGTCCTGCTAGTGACTAACAAAGTCAATGGGGCTCTGTGGTATTCAGCCATGATTACTACAAGTTTAGATAGCTGGCAAAAAAAATATGTTAGCTAGCATGGCTAATTGAGTGTCTGACATAACAAAAGAAAACCTGCTGATGCATAACATTTTACATTTACATTTTACATAACCACATTTCTAAGGTTACTTAAGGTTGCAAAATTCTGGGATCTTGGTTGGAGGATTCCTGATTTCCTCTTTATTCCCTCCTGATTCCGGGAATCTGTTTTGGAAATTAATCCGTGGGCCTACAGTTGCCCATCCCTGTCTTAACAAGATGTAAAATTGCGCGGCTAAGACCTCAGCAAAAACGTCAAAATTAATTACAGATTTCTTGATTTATCTTAGATTAATTCAGACTATGTTTTTGCTATGGCGTCTCAAGAAGGACAAACCATAATATTGCAGGTTTTGCTCCTAGTTTCTTTTAAGGGAGTATGCGAGGCACAGATGTTCGCTTTGCCTAGCCGAGTTCTGCTAGGAGCAAACCAAACCTAGTATGCAGACGCCTTAAAGGTTAGGGTTAGGTAAGGGTTAAAGGGAAGTCCCAATGACCCCGGATAGCACTAACCCCAAGCAATAATGCAAAAGACCCCACATAAGATAATTATTGTGGTAGGTGTCATCTTAATTCACGAACACTAACAGGTACTGAGGAGATTTCTGTTATTTGTGTGAAATATTTCCATTCTGGGATAGTTGTTCACTGAATTGCTATCATTAGTTGCTCACTGAATTGCTATCATTAGTTGCTCATGCTGCTACAGTGGCTACAATGTAAATAAATGTCTTGCGCTTTCCGACCTAACTGTTAGGTCAAATTGACAGGGTAAAGTAATTGATCGTAAAGGATTAGCCAGTTGATTAGCATTGATTGACATATCGCTTTATTATGAAAATGACCATGAAATTCTGAAAAATGCCATGAAATTCTGAAATACATCGTGTTAAAACGTCATTTATGAAATGATAAATGTTCTAATAAAAAAAGTAATTGGGAAATACAATGTATCATTATGAAATAAAATAAGGTAACATTTATATAGAGAAGTGACATTATGAAATAAGATTTCATAATCCATCCAACAGTTTCCAAAAGCACATGCTCATTATTTTTCAACCAGGATTATAATATGCAGAGAATCTTTGAAAATGACCAGTATTCATTATTCAAACTTTTTCATTAATACAAATGTGTCAATCTCTCCTCCTTTTTTAAAAACATTATAAGCAGATATATTGTGCACGCCAGCATTTATTGGCTGGTAAATAATTAGGGGGGATTTTGAACTATGGCCTTGACTTTCTCCTAATGAGTCCTTCACAGTATGCAAATAGAGCTGCTACCGTCTATCAAATAGTAACATGGAGTGGTTAAAACAGTTGTGTGTGTGAATGAGCAATAATCATTTCTGGGGTTGGCAGCTGTCTCCTTCCAGCTTCGGCCTCCCGTTGCAATTGTTATTTTTAGACCACAAATATCACATTTCCCTTTTAAAAAGCCGATGCCTTTCAATTTTTTCTCTCATTGCAAAGTTACACAGGAAGAGAGGGAAGAGTGTAGATTGCATATCCTGTGTGATTGTGCTCTCAACCATTCATGAAAAAACACATGCTCCAGTACTGTATAGTTTAGAGATACCTAGTCCTTTGATGTAAAGAAATGATGCTAGCAAAAAGTACATTCTATTTCTACACAGAAAACTGTAGACCTCACTTAAAAAGAAAGGGCAAAGGGTTTCTTTAAAAGTGTTGCAGTTTGATTCACTGGTACTGTAAGGTCAACTATTATCCTTTTACTATGGGTTTCTGCTAAACCAGCATTCTGTACCCAATGTCATCAATATATTATGCACTGTATTCATGAAGAACTCTATTATAATATTATGATTATCAAGCCCCAAGGGAAATAATCTCTGTGGAATACCTCAAATAACAAAAATATGTGAAGTTAGTGTGCTACTCTATGGATTGCTCTGGTACACCAGTGAAATAAAAAAATGTTGACGCTAAACATGGAGAGAGAATTTTCCAATGTGGTTTTCTCTGTGAAGAAGTAATCATCATCCTAGATGTGGGCCACAGAGACCATCTGGTTGCCTGAGTCATAGCTATGCAGTCTGCTTTAGGAACAAACAATCCCTTAGCAGAGAATGAATACAATGCACTGTCATTGTCATTGTCACTGCATTACACTACTATGACATCTGGCGCTAAAATATGACGAGTGGCAAGAAGATGGCGCTCACACCCGACTCACTGTGCAATCAATCATCCATTGTGTTTCAAAACCCATGGTAATAACTGTAAAGAAATACTATGGTAGTCATTAACCCAATCAGAAATTAGTTGAATTCTCCGTTAGTAAATGCTCTTCTATATCCTACTGTGGTGGTGGATGGACCTTTCTGTCTGTGCCACTAGTGATGATCTGGTACTCCTCAGGGTGGTAGCAGAAACTTCTAAACAGTGTTGGCCAGGACCATTCTTCACAAAACGGCTTGAAAATAATTCAAAATAACACAGTGAAACGGAATCCGGTTGCAAAACCTGATTTATCTGAATTGCTAAACAATTCAGTAATGTGAATATTTGTATATTTTGTGTAATGGTGTCTTACACCAGGTCCTAGATGATGTAGGCCACGTCTGAGCTGGCAGTAACACACTCCTTGTCATTGCTCTTGATCTTAATGCAGTTGACAGAGGCCTTATTCTCCTTCATGGTTTCCAGAAGCCTTTTGTTCCCTGCAGGATCTCCCACACCTGGACAGAACAAGACAATAGTCATGTCAATGGCCTGACTCAAAGAGATGGGAATAAAAACAAGACTAGAGACTCTAACACATATTTGCTACTTCTATCTGTTTCACTGTGTTTAAATTTTTTTTTTTTATTTATTTATTTATTTTACCTTTATTTAACCAGGTAAACCAGTTGAGAACAAGTTCTCATTTACAACTGCGACCTGGACAAGATAAAGCAAAGCAGTGCGATAAAAACAACAACACAGAGTTACATATGGGGTAAAACAAAACAAAGTCAAAAATACAACAGAAATACATATATATATACAGTGTGTGCAAATGTAGCAAGTTATGGAGGTAAGGCAATAAATAGGCTATAGTGCAAAATAATTACAATTAGTATTAACACTGGAATGATAGATGTGCAAGAGATGATGTGCAAATAGAGATACTGGGGTACAAATGAGCAAAATAAATAACAATATAGGGATGAGGTAGTTGGGCGGGCTAATTTCAGATGGGCTGTGTACAGGTGCAGTGATCGGTAAGGTGCTCTGACAACTGATGCTTAAAGTTAGTGAGGGAGATAAGTGTCTCCAGCTTCAGAGATTTTTGCAATTTGTTCCAGTCATTGGCAGCAGAGAACTGGAAGGAATGGCGGCCAAAGGAGGTGTTGGCTTTGGGGATGACCAGTGAGATATACCTGCTGGAGCGCAGACTACGGGTGGGTGTTGCTATGGTGACCAATGAGCTAAGATAAGGCGGGGATTTGCCTAGCAGTGATTTATAGATGGCCTGGAGCCAGTGGGTTTGGCGACGAATATGTAGTGAGGACCAGCCAACAAGAGCGTACAGGTCACAGTGGTGGGTAGTATATGGGGCTTTGGAGACAAAACGGATGGCACTGTGATAGACTACATCCAATTTGCTGAGTAGAGTGTTGGAGGCTATTTTGTAAATGACATCGCCGAAGTCAAGGATCGGTAGGATAGTCAGTTTTACGAGGGCAAGTTTGGCAGCATGAGTGAAGGAGGCTTTGTTGCGAAATAGGAAACCGATTCTAGATTTAACTTTGGATTGGAGATTCTTAATGTGAGTCTGGAAGGAGAGTTTACAGTCTAACCAGACACCTAGATATTTGTAGTTGTCCACATACTCTAGGTCAGACCCGTCGAGAGTAGTGATTCTAGTCGGGTGGGCGGGTGCAAGCAGCGTTCGGTTGAAGAGCATGCATTTAGTTTTACTAGTGTTTAAGAGCAGTTGGAGGCTACTGAAGGAGTGTTGTATGGCATTGAAGCTCGTTTGGAGGTTTGTTAACACAGTGTCCAATGAAGGGCCAGATGTATACAAAATGGTGTCGTCTGCGTAGAGGTGGATCTGAGAGTCACCAGCAGCAAGAGCGATGTCATTGATATACACAGAGAAAAGAGTCGGCCCAAGAATTGAACCCTGTGGCACCCCCATAGAGACTGCCATAGGTCCACTGTTAGTATTTGTTAAACTATTAGTCCCATCTTCATATCAATAGCATTGTAAGCAGATTCTGTTATGAATAAACATGAGCCAAGGCATGCAATGCTTGTTTAAAAATTTTTTATTACCTTCTAATGCATGCAGGTATCTATAAAAACAAATTGGGGGGTGGGTGCTTATATTTGTCCTATTTCACACATGTACAAGTGTGTATTAATACACGTGTGAATTGGATCAAAAATTTTTTTGCGTATCCCAACTCTCCTTGACACCCTTGGAGAGTGGGTTCACGGCCAGGGTCTGCCATTATCAACAGCGACCCTATTTGTACTTTGTAATACTGATGGTCCTTCATCTCCATCATTGTTGTTTATCTTTATCTCCATGGTGCTTTATCTTCTTGATCTTTACCTGTCCCTCCCCTCCCCACTGGCAATCCTCTTGCAGTCTCTGGTGGTGGCGATGGCTGTCACTCACACCCATGCTGTGGGCATTGTGCACAGTCATCATCAGCCTGCCAGTCTCAGGAGTGAAGTCATGGATCTTACCATGATTCCAGGCTGAAAGAAAACAACACAAAGTCAATGACTGGGAGGAATACAAACACGAATGCGTGACAGAAAGTATTGTTTTCCTTTCAACTGTTGTTACCCAACTAAATCACCACCAGAGGAGTGAACAGAGGAATGCATTTGCATTATAATAGAAAGCCCCAGAGTTTGTGCTGCTAAGAAATGGAATGGGAAACCCACCACTGATCATGAACTCCACAGTGTTGCAGCTAGGTCATGTTGGGCACATGGATATGTAGCACTTCTTTAGAGGTTTCCGTATGCCACATCCAGATGTCATTCTCAGAACGTGGCAAAGAGCTCAGACCAGCCACTGTGAGATATACACCAAGATATACATGTTAAGTTAAAGCACTTATCAGTCCATATGGAATTGATCTAGCTATTGACCAGGAATATGATAAACTTTGGAGGATGTAGTATCTTAGGATGCTTCTTAGATTGATGACACCGGACACGTAAGTACGTTTTAGTATTTAATTGTAACTTAGAATAACATTACCTGAATGCACCTGGCGTAAGCTACTTGAGGCTTTTCTTAGCACGGTTATATGGCAGACATTTAAACGGCTACGGATAGCGGAAAGGAAACCCCATATTGGAAAACATAATACTTAACATTAATATAACAGGTTACTACAGAGGACACACAACATTTGACAGCAAATTATCATATAGCCCCCTCTACTATTGTCATTTAAAAAGGCAAATTGGCTTCAAAATTATCAGCCAGTCACGCAGAATCAGTTTCCTATTTGCGTTCAGTAGGGAACTGAGCCTGCACACATATGGAATGTGATGCCGTATATGATGTGACATTTTAGCCTGTTGTGTCACTCACTAATGAAAGTCCACATCATTCATGGTACTGTTATGGCTGGTGGTGATCAGGTGATGAGCTCCTCTTTGAAGTCAGCATAGTTTAAACAGTAGATCTGTGTTGCCTCTGTGCCCACAAAGAACTGGTGACCCTCACCATGGAGCGCTATGGATGTCACCCCCTCTCCAGCTGAACCTTCCTGCCAAAGGAACACAATAGACCGGTCGATAGTGTAGAAACCAAAGAATACATGTACAGGTAGTATTCATTCTGTAGTACTGTAGTACAGTGGTGTTTTAGATGCTTTTGGAAGATGCACACAGGATTACTGAAGTGAAATAATAACTATAAAAGTGAATAAAGACCTCCTTTAAATACACTCAACTCACTTGATGTGTTTGAGTGAACAGAGTGAACATGCAATCTCCTGAGTCCACCAAAATGTCGCCTGTCTTCATCACTATGATTGTGTTCACCCCCTGTAGACAACAAGGGGAAATGCATGCTGAGTTCTGAGGTTTGTATTGCAGTCTATCTAACTAAGCCAGATATTAAACTTGTCTTACCGTGTTCCTATTTTGAACCCACCTTGCTGAATTTCTGTTTCACTGGGCCACGGCCCATTAAGAAGCTTGGTCTTGAGATTGACTTTCAGGATATCCCCACTGGTGCCACAGTAGAAATAGCTGCCTTCCTCGGGGATCTGTACCATGAAGTAACAGGAAGTTATTCAGGTTGCAAACTGCTACAAGACTTACTGCAGTATGCTGAGGAAATAGCACTCTCAGAAAGGGTCATACTATTCATGTTTTTAAATGTATCAGGGCTCTACAGTGTGACAATTTTACTCACATGTCCCTAGCTACATATTTTGCTGTGCAACCTGGAATTTAAATTTAGTAGCCTCAGAAAATGTAGGATTCTAGCTTTAATATCTCAAATATCTTTCATTGTGCTTCTAAATTTCTTTGTGTGTGCCTACATTTTTCAACTTAGGTGCACACGTGCTCCTTGTATAAAAGGTCAGCGTAGAGCCCTGTGTATAGCCATGTGTTAGTGCACTCTATGTTCTGATATTATAATTACCCAAATGCATTTCACAATTGTTTTCAGCTGCCCTGTCTGACATTCAGTGGACCTAATCTTGTGGGGAAGATCAAGTTCCTAAACACGGAGAGTGTCGCTACAAGAAGATTATCAATATCCTTATAGGCCTATAGCTGTGACATTTCATTAGAAGGTGCCCAAATCAAAATTATACAAAAATTGCTCTATTTAGATATACATACTGTTCTGCCTACACAAAGATGTCACTTGTGGATGGACATCATGAAAATGATCGGAGCGGTTTAGGGTAGAGGAAGTTCAGGAGTAAAAACAAACAAAATATAATTATTGTAAAATTGACTGTGTCCATAAAATGCATATAGTATGTTTAAGCTGGAAGTAGAGGCCTAAGCGTTGTTGTTCACCAGTTTACTCCAAATAACCACCACTGTGGGCTGAGGCTTCCACAAATGTCTTCTCTGATTTCTATATTCCACACTACTATATGGAAAATACAGATACACACAGTTATTCAGTTAAAGTGTATGAATACGCCTATTTGTAACTACTATATTATAACAGAGGATCTGAGTCAAATGTCAGTATTTCACAAAGTTTGACAATCTGTTGCTATGGCTAGTACCTGCCATCATCCTGGCCTCCAAGGGTCACCAGGTACTTGACATTGGGGGGAGAAGGCCAATCCTTCCAACTTGGCTTTTTGGAGCTGCAGGTGAGCATAGATTCCTCTCTTGGCAAAGTCCCATGGTATAACATCAGTCTGTTCAAAGAATGATGAAAACCAGCTAATTATCTTTTATCACAGTTTTCTGCAAATCCATTTTTCTTTCTCTTTATGATCAAGTTATTGTGTATATACCTTACTGGCTACTGCACTGGTGGCTACACTTACATCTTAGCATTAGTCCTTTACCTTGAAGCCTATGAAGGTGACCTGACCATGAGGCAATATACTTTCCACTTTTGGACACAGGAGACATTGTTGGTGTGGCCATGTAGAAACTCCAGTTTCTTGTTTGTCAGGCTTTTGAGGATGATATTGTAGCCCAGTGGATAGATAAGGTGCTCTCTGTTAGGGTTGACTTTTAGACCAAAGATTATGACCTGGTACACAATAGACACACAAAGCGTATTTTGGGTATTGTGTTTGACTGAGAAAATCATTGCATCAACTAAAAATTGTGTTGATGTCTAGCTGCTGGGTTGTTTTTTGAATTACGGTGGCATTTGGGCATGTCATTTTAGAAAAACGTCATTTGTTTTGTTGATTAGATCTTCCCATTCTAAATCAACTAGTATGGTAGCTTTATGACTTTAAATATATTTTTGACCATTATGATAACTTTGTGCAACCAGTAGGAGTAGTAACACCAATGATGATAAAACCAATGGAGACATTTTAGGTAAATTAGGATTTTCTGAAATGGAGGCCACAAATGCTGAAATCTAAGGTCATCATCCCTTCAAAAATAATGTATCATTTTGAGGTCAGGGCTCTCTGCAGGCCAGTCAAGTTCTTCCACACCGATCTCGACAAACCATTTCTGTATGGACCTCACTTTGTGCATGGGGGCATTGTCATGCTGAAACAGGAAAGGGCCTTCCCCCAAAAGAGTTGGAAGCACAGAATCGTCTAGAATGTCATTGTATGCTGTAGCGTTAAGATTTCCCTTCACTGGAACTAAGGGCCCTAGCCCAAACCATGAAAAACCTATTTCGAGCAAATAGTACCCTAGACTGTCCTGATCATCTAGTTGAGCATTCCAGAGAAATCCTCAATCCCAGCAGGAATGTCCCATCCACATAGTGCTAAATACTGATATGATTTTTCAGCTCAGCATTCTTAGGGAAACATTTGCCACAAGTGGTGTTCTCTGTGTTGTATGAAAATGGAGTGAGTCCTCTTGTTGTCCAGTGAGTGAGGCTTGCCTCCATAGGTTTTAGTTAGTAGCCTAGTTGTGGTTCACTTCCACTAGTAGGTCCTTATTATTCCCATCAGGTGTTTCTTCAGGCTGTTGGGGCTCAACATTTTTCCCACACGAACCACAAAAACGGTTTTGTTCCAATGACTGCACCTGTTGAGCATGACTAATGACTGACTGACTTGACTTAAGCCCATGGCTCCTGTAAGTAGCATAGGCCAGTTGAGGCCATTCTCAGTCATTTCTGCCTGTACATCTCTCCTCCATGTGTTTCTAGGTCGGTGTTTCCCAACCCTGGTCCTCCAGTACCCCCAACAGTACATATTTTCGTTGTAGCTCTGGACAAACACACCTCATTCAACTCATTGAGGGCTTGATGATTAGTTGACAAGTTGAATCGGGTGTGCTTGTCCAGGGTTACAATAAAATGTGTTTTTTAGATTCATTCTCATCAATGACAACATTCTAGAACTGAGCTATCACTCATCCATGTCTGGTATCCAGGGTAATCTGGTTATTGATTATATAATGTTGATTATGTGTCTCTTTCCTTGTAGAATGTTGACAGCTGTATAGAACACATTGTATTGCTAAGATGTTCAAACTTAACTTAATAGCTACACTCACTGATGCAGGATAAACTTTATTCCTCATGCTGGCCCTGACCAAACCGGTAAGTTGCCCCTCATTATAGCTACACTTCTCCACATGGCCAGACTTATAGTGGTCTTCTCCCCTTTGTAGGAATTTGTAGTCTTGCATGAGGTCTTCTCTGTTGCTAATTAGCATTTCAACTTTTTTTGAGTAAATTGAGGCAAATTAATTCATAAAACACCTTGTCCGAGACGGAATTATATGGTTATCAAAACGTCACGCCAAGGTAAGCCTACACCAAACACATACTTAATTTGAAGTGTTTCTAAAATCTCCTATGGGAAAAATGAATGGTGGAAAAATTATTGGAACCATTTTCGTGTTTGACCACTAGGTTTTATGGGTATTATTACACTTCCACTGTGGGGCTCAATGTGGCCGACCGGTGGCTTCAAAGCCTCTCAATGGGCAATACATATTATCAGCAATCCAGGGTTTATACAAGTCATTGGGTCTAACCGTAATCTCGCGCCGAACTGTGCATGTGCATCCATCAAATAAAAGGCACTCCTTTGATATAAAGTTGTTTTTGACTAAAATGAAAACGTGTCAGTTTGTCACTTTCAAGAGGTTGGAGTAATAACATGTTCAGCTACTTAAAGGAAAACGCCACCCAAAAGCGGTCTTTTGGTGTTTGTTTCATTAGACTGTTGTTGATTTAGTCCCAAATTGTTTTGCTTGTCAGCAATCAAGGTTTCAAAATATGTAGCTTTCAAAATACAGAAATCTGGCCCATATGATGCATTTTGCATCATATGAGGCTGCGTTTGGCAAGCAAACATTTTGGGACTATATCAACAATGGACTAATGAAATAAATACCAAAATATCGTTTTTGGGTGGAATTTTCCTTTAAGACACTGGCCTCAAATCTAGGTTGTGCCTTTAGACTTCGACAAAAATAACAACTAGGAAGAATTTTTCAGTTCTCTCTGACTTCTCAAACCCCGGTCTGGTCTGCCGAGTCTGCTTCGCAAGTGTTCCCGTTGCGATGTTGGGCCTCTGGGTTTAGACTATTTACTTAAAGCAATAGAGGGCAATAATGGCGTCTTGTTGTAGGCACTAACTCTGCCTTGGTTCGTTGAACAAAGCCTATTGGATGGATTTTTTGTATGGTCCACTAGCTACGTGATATTATTCAGGATTTTTTCTGATCGATTGATGAACACAGTAATCAGATCAGAAGAGATGAATAAAGCCTAGCTAGCTAGCAAGGACGTACCAATATAACCATTAACTGCATCAAGCTCAAGAAGTGAAACATATTGTGTATCTTTTTCATAGCCATCGAGGTAGCAACGGTTGGCTCAGCAGCGCCCCTGCGCAGACAAAACATTTTACTCATATTTGAACCCGTTGAGGGAGAGATTACAATGTTTCAAACCTTTCAATGGACTCAATTTTCTCTCATGATTTTGTCCAATAACTCATGCTGCAACGTGAATTGTGTGAATAGTTTGACAGAACCTCTAATAATATTATATTTAATTTATATAGCGCTTTCATTACGCTCCACCATCCAGGCAATCATACTCTCCTCCGCTTCTCCTTCCATGGCTCCTCCAAGAACAAGAATGACGCAGGTACGTACATTGGCTGAATTCATAGCTGTCCTTTTTTGCATAGTGTGTTGTGCCTCAGTGCCCCTTGAAATCTCAACAAAAGTGAGGGTCATTCAAGGGCAGGCACCGTTCAGTGTAAGGGTCTTTATTGGGGTCACATCCGGCTCAGACCACCCAGCTGTGTGGAAGACACCCATTCATGACCATGTGAGCTGGAGCGCAGGCTTGTCTTTGCCATGATGTCAAATTAGGGAAAAAAGTCATAATCCTATGACCTTTGGCACCCTAATGAAAGAGCGTATTTAGTGAAAAGCTGCAGTTGACCTCTAGACTCGCATCGTCAGGAGAAATACGAAGAACATCGACGATACAAGACTCACTCCCTCTTTAGAATGGCTAAAACCAAAGATTAAGTATTTGGTATGGCCTAATACAGACCTCTTTATGCGTATCATAGCCTGAAATACCTTTTCTGCCAAATGCCAAACTGTGTTGATTTCTGTTTAC